TAATACACAATAACAGTAAAAGCAACGAGGAACCTAAAAAAAGCTAAAGCTTTCAGCTTTGATACATTTTTAAAAATAATATTAAAATTTTTCCCAACAATATACACAGAAACTTTCCATTGTCATAATAACAATATCGTTATTTCATTTCATAAAACTACACACACAAAAAAAAAGTTAAATAAGAAAATGTTAGAATTTTCATTTCATCTTTACTATTTCAACTAATCAAAAATAATAATGTTAAATAAATATACGCATGTTCCGCCATGTCAAAGTATTGTTATTAAAAAATTTCATAGATTATAAGTAATAATTAATAATGAATGCATGTGTATGTAATCATGTTGCTGCATATATGTATTAATTGCACTCAGTACAATATAAACTTAATAGTATTACCTACTTATTATCAAAAAATAATGAATGCATTTAGTAGAAACTTAAAAAAAAAATTATGTAATTAAAGTTTGCAATAACTATTTTTAAGTAAATTATTATTATTTTTGTTTTAAAATCTAATGAAGCTAATTCTGTTTTTAGGCATATAATACTATTTCAGAAATTCAAAATGTCCTCAAATAATTAATTTTATTCACAGAAATTATTGAGGCCACTTCTTTTGTTTTCTCTTGGATAATTATTATACATTTATGCGGTTAATAATATATTCATCAAAGTCATATGTAAATGAATTTAATTAATATAAGTTATAATTGTACATCACCTGTAACCTGTAAATATGTAAATATAACGCATTATGTRTAACACACATCACGTCAATAATGAAAAAAAAATTTGTTGTTTTATAAATTAAATGTGTCAAATTTTAGACACTATAAATAATAAACAATCAGATTATCAATTTTCAAAATATTCTAATTATTTTTCACGCATTAAATACTTTCATAAATTATTAATTGTGTGTATTTAATGGTATGTACCAATGTACCTATTTAATGGTGTATTATACGTTCGRTTCTTACGACGAATGGCGGCGATCCCATAGAGGCGTTAGCGGAAAAAACTAATTAACTAACTTGAATTTATTTATGCGCTCAGAGTTTCTTGTCTTTATAATTTCAAATACTGTTTTAAGAAATATAATTT